TTTGATTTATGGGTGTTGATTTTGTATCCTGATACTTTGCTTGTTTCTTACTAGTTCTAGAAGTTTTCTGGTGGAATTTTTTTGGGTATTCTAGGTATAGAATCCTATCGTTGGCAAATAGTGCTGATTTGAATTCTTCTTTTCCCTTTAATTTCTTTCATCTGTCTAGTTGATCTTGCCAGTGTTTCAAGAACTATGTTAAATAAAAGTGGTAAAGAGGGCATCCCTGTCTTCTTCCAGTTTGTAGAGGGAATGCTTTCAATTTTTCTCCATTTAGAATGATGATCTTAATTCAAACTGTTACAATGTAAACCTTTTATAATAGTTGCATGCCATTAAGCCATGTAAATTTTTAAAACATACTGACTTTTACGTCTTCCTTTTTTAATTTTTACTGCTCAATACTTTAGACCCTCATCAGCTCACACCTGGGATGCTCTATTGCCCCAAAGCTCTGGAGTGATAAGATTTGATTATCACACAATAAAGATCTATGGTCTCAAAAACTTTCTTTCAGTGGCTTCAGATTCTTAAAAATGGCTGAGAAAACAGCAGTATCTATAAGACCTCTATTAAGACAGCAGTATCTTATAATACCTTGAATTAGCTTCCTTGTTCTTCTCCAACCAATTCAATCTCTTCCTGCAAGTAATATCCCTTTGACTCAAGAAATAACCAGAATACATCAATAACTAGGAAAGAATTTTTAGAATTTCAAAGAAGTTTCCTACCCCCAGCAAATGTAATAAATCAAATGAAATTAATAAGCATGTAGTTAAGATATAGAATGTAATTAGTAAGCATATAATTATTTATACAAAGAGTATACCTTATTATAAAATGTTTATATCTTCTTTGTTATTAACAACATGACTAAACTCCCTTGTAAATCATGGAGATATAAGCATGGATTTTTATTCAAATATAAAATTAGTTAAATAGGTTTACCAAAACCAGAAGTGTTATTTTGCAATATGTATTAAAATGCTTTTTTTTTTCTTTTCTAGGATACATCGAGCAAGAGCATATTTTAAAAGGAGTTTTTATAAACAAGCAATTCAGGACTTTTCTATTGCTATTCACTTAGATCCTAATAACTGGTTGTCATTCTATTATCGAGCTTGCTTATTTAGAAAGACTAACCCTCGTAAAGCACTACAGGATTATAGCATTTCAGGTACTTTGCTTTC